ATATGATTCTGCATCAACACTGCCCCCAATCCATATCCTGACGCATATGTCTCCACTATAAAGGTCTGGCTGAAATCTGAAAGAGCCAATATTGGGACTGTCGTCATAGCCTTCTTTAACCTCTCAAAGGCTTGGGTTACTGCCTCCCCCCATGAAAAATTGTCCTTCATCAGTTGCTCAGTCAAGGGCCAAGCAATGGTACCGTACCCCTTCACGAACCTTCTGTAGTAGCCTGCCAAGCATAGGAACCCCCGTAACTCCCTTATGTTCCTAGGCATTGGCCATCTCTGCATTGCCTCAATTAGCCTTCAGCTGGTGAACCTGTAGGAGTGTAAGAACCTCTTCCAAGTGCCTCAGGTGCTCCTACTTGTTTCGGTTGTATACCAAAATGTTATCAAAGAAAACCAACACAAACTTCCTGAGGTACTGTCGGAACACCTTATTCATCAGGGACTGAAAAGTGGCAGGGGCGTTAGTGAGCCCAAATGGCATCGCCAGAAACTCATAGTGTCCCTCATGCGTTTGGAAAGCTGTCTTCTGGTATCTCCCTCCTTTATTCTGATTTGATGGTAGCCGGACTTCAGGTCCATCTTGGTTTCTTGGAAAACACAACTGCTCCGTGCAGTTCATCCAATAGCTCGTCAATCATCGGAATGGAAAATCTATCGGGTACTGTCTCCTTGTTCAGAGCTAGGTAATCCACACAAAATCTACAGCTTTCATCCTTCTTTTTTACCAAAAAGACTGGACTGGAGAAAGGGCTCGCACTAGGTCTAATGATTCCGGCCTCCAACATCTCCCTATTCAGCTTCTCAATTTCATCTTTCTGAATCTAGGGGTAGCGGTAAGGTCGAACACTGATCGGTGATGTCCCATCTTTCAGAAGGATCGCATGCTCCTGCTCTCTGGGTGGTGGCAAGCCTCGAGGTGACTGGAAAATGGAAAACCTCCCTGTACTACTGTATGAGTGGTTGCACCACCAGTGGAATGTCTCCCTCTTCCCCCACGCTGATTCTTTCCAATCAATGTAGCTCCACCAAATATCCCCCTCCTACCTCCTGTATCGATCTGATCATAGATTTGAGAGACACTCTTGACCTAGATAGACCTGCATTCCCCTGAATCACCATTCGTTGTCCTTCCACCTTCAATTCCATCCTTAGAGCCCCCAGTTGACCTTGGTCTCCCCCAAGATTTGCAGTCATTTCATCCCCAGGATGACGTCGGTACTTCCCAATTCTAATGGTAAGAAATCCTCCTTCACCTGGAGCCCTTGAATGGTCAATACCACTCCCCTGCAAACTCTTCTCCCCATCTCCACCTTTCCCGTGCCCATCATCACCCCGTATCCTCCTGTGTTCACTAATTTCATCCCTAACAGATGTACAATCTAATTAGAAATGAAATTGTGGGTGGCCCCACTATCAATCAGCATCACAACCTCCCGATCCACTATATCTCCCCTCACCTTCATGGTGTGATTTGGTGTGAATCCCACCACCTAATTTAGCGAGACTTCAGCGACGTCTAGATGTAGCTTCTCTTCTTCTTCCTCCACCATCCCACTCTCACCTCCCTCCTCAGTTTCCTCATCATCACAGACGGTGAGAACCTAAAGAGTTCGATCCTTACACCTATGCCCTGGCATGCACTTCTCATCGCACCTGAAGCACAACCTTTTAGCCCGCTTCTTTTGGATCTCCCTCACCGTCAGCTTCTTAAAATTTCCACCAGGCCCCCCTCCTCCTATCCTCTCCTTTGGTACTTCTCGTGGACCCCCCGGTGCAGCTCCTTTTGGAGCTAGGAAGTTAGTCGTCATCCTATAGGATCCCCCAGAGCTGCTGCTACGAGCCCCCCTCTTCAGATGCTTATGATCCTCCACCAGCTATGCCAACTCCATGGCCTCCCCCAAATCGTGTTGTCTCATCACCCTGACGGCTGCTCTGATTTCTAGTTTAAGCCCCTTCATGAAGTTCCCCTCTAGCACGGTCTCGGAGAGACGATCTAACCTGCTTGCTAGATACTCAAACCGGTCTCGGTAATTAGCCACCGTCCCCTCCTGTGTCAGGGCAAAGAACTGCTCGTAAAAGTCTCTTCCCCTACTGGTTCGAAAATGCTCTAGTAGACAGTCCTTGAACTCTCTCAAGCTTCGAATGGGCCTCCTCATGTCTCTCCATTGGTACCACGCTAGTGCCTTCTCTTCCAAACATAATCCTGCAGCTGTCAATTTCTCCTCCTCGGTCAACCCATTGACTACAAAGTACCGCTCCACCTTGTAGATCCAGCCATGTGCGTCCTTGCCCTCGAAGATGGGCATCTTCAATTTCCTCACCCTCGGATCTTCCCCGTTTCCCCTAAATCCTCCGTAACCTCCCATTCCCCGAGGGAGAAAAACTCCCCAATGATCACGACCTTCCCTCCGCCGATCATACCCATGCCCTTCCTCATAAGTCATAATCCTCCCTTTTCCTCTCCTCCTCAGCACCTCGACGGTAGAACTCATCCCTTCTCCCAAAAAATTCAACACCCCTTCTCTCATAGCACATGCTCATCTCCTCCCTAGAAAGCGGTTCTAGCGGAAGCATTCCGTCATTCCCATCAAGGATCTCCACTTCAGTAGTGTCCCTCCCCCTCAATGGGTTCGGGTTCCCGTATCTCCCATTGTCGTCGGTGGCTTCCCTTGCTTCCAATGTCGTCGGATTTGGTTTGCCCTCTAACATCTTCTTCATCATTTCTTCCAATGTCGTGAACCTCCCATCCATCTTTTCATGGATGGACGCGAATTGATTTTGAAATTCAACGGTTCTTTCTTTCAAATTGGTCTTCAGTTGGCCAATTTCTCCCTCCATAACTTCTACTTTCCTTCCGGCCATCTTCTCTGATACCAATTTGATAGGTAATAATTGAGTTCGCAAGTAACCCTAAGGAATACTTGAGTTCACAAGCAAACCTAATCACAATCGGAGAGGAAAACAGCAGGAAAACTGCTGTTTGCAACAGTGAACAGCAGCCGAACACAGGAAAAACAGCGAGAAATTACGAGAAAACTGAGAGAAACTCAAACCAAGACTTGTAGTCCACTAGTAGATGAATAAAATCAACAAGGATACAATCGTTCTTCAATTAGAGAGGAATAACCACTCTCCAAATCTCCGACAATGCCAGGAGCCCAACACAAGCAAACCATAGATCTCCAATCTTCTCCCAAATCCAAGATAGCCCTAATTATCTCATTACTACCTAATTAAAACAAAATGAATCATACAAATTACCTAAACACCCTTCTAAATCAAATTTTCCATCCTAAAAATAGATTTAAACCCAATTGGGGCCCACAAGGAGTTCCGCCCCCCCGGCCTCCCTTTGTTCCGCCGCCGAGAATTTTTTTCTTAATATGTAGATGATGATGACCTAGATGGTGTTCGAAATGATAATAAAACAATTGGCAATGACGATATTGATGCTTTTGGAGGGGAATGTTTTGATGAACAAGGATTTAGGAATATAACTTTTGATGCTTCAAATCTATAAGACGAATTCTAGATTTATTTCCATATTTATGTTTGAACTTTGAAGTTTGACTTGATATGAAATTATGAACATTTTGTTTGATGACAAAAGCTATGCATTTGTTTATGTTTTATTGACTTATTTGATACGACACTTATATTATGTGTTATTTGTTTATATTTCATAAACTTAATTGATATCATGTTTATGTTATTTGAATTAGAAGCTATGAAAATAGAATGTAGAATGAAGGTATTACATGAAAATTTAACATTTATTTTATTTTATTAATAATATTATTATTTATTACGTCAACCGTGAACCTCTCCTTCCGGTTTGTTGTCCGATCCGATTTTCAAAACCTTGGAAAAAAGGAAGACATGTGCGTGCAAGTTAGGGCTCAGGATTTAACAAGCTAGGGAGGCTAGGGTTTCGTTGATTGGTAGAAGTTAAGATTTTTATGTATTATTTTGATAAAAGATGATGATAAGAATTTTTTTTAAGAAAATTAATATATTATAAATTAATTAATAATGATATGTATATAAGATAATATGATATTTTAAATTAGGTGATGAATAAATTAAATTTATATAATTTTAATTGAGAAGAATAATGAATTATAATAAATTGTATAGGAAATGAGATATTAGAGATAGTATCAGCAAAAGAAAATTTAATTGACCGTCCGATCGTCTATTCCCGCCTCGTTAATTCGAGTTGTCGGACCAGGTCATGGCATAACATTTATTAAATTTGGCTACTTCTAGATTTTATTAAATCATGTTAAAACTTAAAAGATAGAGTGACAATGGGTTTCAACATCACAGTAGGATTCGCTCGCCTCCAAAAACTATCTGGCAATATTTTGTCCAAAACTTGCTTATTTAAAAAGCTACAACCAAACAGCCTGTGAGGCATGACACAATATTTACTTATTCTACATCACTATACCTCTATTCCTTACAAGTTCAATAATCATGGAACAACCATCATAAAAATTTTCATTTTAAGTTAGATATGGACAGAACTTTGAATTAAAAAGGGCAGTAGAAAGGAAAAGCTATAATTCAAATAAACAAATAAAATAACCAGTGTATATCCACCACTGATAAAATGGAAAATGTTTTAAGTTGTTTCAATGCCCTCAAGAATACAACATGTTGAAAACAATACTAGGGACTTGCAAATTTTTTTGTGATGGTGGATCCGGCGGAAGCATAGAAGATAAAACATAGCAAGAACAGTCCAATTTTCTTTAAAAATAATTCCCTGACACAGGATTTAAAGCTTAAAAATAATTTTTACACAGCTTTCCCCAGCTATGATGCTGAGCAAAATTTCACGGGCTTGTGATCAACTTTAAAGTCTGAAATATCAACATGGGAGAATTCATCACTACTTGAGAAAAGATAAAAGCACCAAATTTGCTGCTAATGCAATTATCAGTAGGATAAGGCAGAATGAATTTTGCTATCAAAAGAAATCACCTATCCTTTCATAAAACGGTGTGCTGAAATCATTTTGCTCTTATTGAAATACTCATATCATCCACGCTACAAGGTTCATACGTTCCACCATAATGCATAAAAAACAATGATGCCTACAAAATAGAAATGATAAAAATGAAAGTTAAAAGGTAGTATCTTTCAATTCCAGCTACGTACAAACTATGGCACAAAATATTTCAAATAAAATCCTAATTAAAAGAGTGATAGAAGGTCTTAGTATCACAGAGGGATGGATAAAAATAATACAAGGAAAAATAAGGATGAAAAAAGAAAAAAAAAAAGGCACTTGGCATAGCTGATGGAGACTTACCAGCCTATTGCTGAGTTATTAAAAGAAAAAAATGCAATTTTTTCAGTGGTTTGGATCTTTGGAACCATTTCAGATCTTCAATGACCAGGGCATGGTTCTTCCTAGTTAGGTGCAGCGATGAAATGGAGAAATAATTATCAAGACGTATAGTATATACACAAAAGTGCATGTCCACTGGTTAGCATCCCACGTATCAACGGGTACAAACATCACGTCAGAGCAAACTATGAAAAATTATTCTGCAACTTATCCTCTCTCTCCAGTGCCTCCGACAGAAACATCCCTGAAGAATTCAGCATTCGGTGCAACTTAGCATACGTTAGATTGCTCGGGAGACAGTTCTTCTCCTCCATTATTGACAATATTTCAGAACAAAAATCAATGTATCCCTGTGCCAATAGAGTGCCTTTCAATATTCTCCAAGTAATTTCATCATAATTATAGTCACCCGTAAATAAACCATGAAAAACTTGTTTGGCCTTCTCAAAGTTCCCTTCGTTACAGAGTCCTGAAATAAGAAGCTGATAGGATTCCAAATGTGGCGGACCAACTAAAGAAATCAAGGAATCCATAAACTCCGATGCTTCAATATATAGTTTTAACCTGCAACAGCAGCTTATTAAAGAAGTATACGTTTCTTTATTAGGTGATTTTCCAACTTCTTGCATTTGGATGAATAAAAGCTTTGCTTCTTCCAATCGATCCATTTTGCAAAATCCATTTATGAGGGTATTGTAGGTACTGATGCTAGGAATGCAACCATATTTGTGCATCTCCTGTATAAGATCTACGACAGTATCCATCTCCAATACCTTCCACATGACTTCAGAACCAAATGAAATCAAAGAAGCTTGTTTCTTTTCAATCATAAGCTTAAATAAAATAGAAAAAGTTATATCATTGGGCTCAATTCCTGATGTCATCATCTCATTGAGAGCAGAGAAAGCTTGATCTATCAATCCAATGCTTCTGTAACCATCAATCACTGCAGTGTATGTAACCAAACTTGGAAGAACTCCATCTCTCTTCATCCGCATAATCATATTCTCTGCTTCTTTTAACATCTTGCAATTGAAATAGGAGTGAATGAATGCAGTATAAGTGAATGCATCTGGCTTGCATCCTGAAGAAATCATCTCACCAAAAATTATTTTAGCATCCTCAAATTTTCCCTCAGTCAAGAACAAATCAATTAAAATAGTGTAACTAACAGCTGTAGGTTTAACTTTTATCTTCAACATATGAATAAGGATAGACTTAGCCTCCTCTCTCTTATTTTCTCTGAACAAAACATCCAACAAAAAACTATAGATGAAGGGGTCGGGTACAAAATTTTTTGATAGCATCTCCTTCAGCGAAGATTGAGCATCATCAATCCTCCCTGCTTTGTGCAGCCCATCAATCAATGCGGTATAAACCACCTTGTTCACGTTTAAGCCTTTTTTAACAATATTATTAAAGAACTCCTTAGCTTCCTCAATTTTTCCCCCTTTACAAAGAGCATCTATCAAAATTGAACACGTCCGCTCATTTGGAACCAAGCCATTCTCTTCCATTAAATCCAACAATTCAAATGCACAGCTAAAATGGCCCTCCCTGCATTGCCCCTGGATCAATGTTGTGTAAGTGACAACGTTTGGAGACAAACCAGTTTCGAGCATCCTACTCAAAAGATTCATAGCTTCATGCACTCTCCTCTCCTGACACAGACCACAAATCAACTCACTGTAAGTCTGCACATCTGGCTTACATCCCTTCGATTCCATCATTTCAAATACGCCAAAAGCAGAAGCAACTCTCCCTGCCTTGCAATAACCGTCAATCAAGGCATTGTAAGTAACAACATTGAGAACCAAACCCTTCCTCGTAATTTCATCCATCATTGATTCAGCATTTCCAATCTTCCCATTCTTGAGCAAGCACTGAATGACGACAGTGTAGGAATGGATATCAGGCTGGCACCCATCATCATCCATTCTAGAAAACAAAGATAATGCCTCTGTGAACCTGCCGGCTTCACATAGCCCGTGAATTATCACTGTGTATGACACCTCATTCCTAGGGCAACCCTTCTCTGGCATCATAAAAAAGACCCAGCAGGCGCTCTCCAAGCTCTTAGCCTTACAGCAGCCCAAGATCAATGACGTATAAGTAAAAGTATCAGGGTTCAATCCCGCATGTAGTAATTGTTTGAAGTACACATTTGCCTGAGCAAGATTGCCAACCTTGCAATAAGCATTCATCATCGTATTGTAGGTATGCACATTGGGAAAAATCTCACCTTTGCTAATTATTTCGAAAACCGATTCCATTTCATCAATCATGGAGAAAGTTCGCAGCGCCATTAGCAAATTGTTGAAGCAGCGGATGCTGCAGGAGCGTTCAGCGGCCAAGAGAAGTAGGTCGAGTACGGCGAGGAGTTCGTCCCGGCAATGGCAAGACCGAATGGTGGAGATAGCGAATTTTTCAAGAGGGGAAGGAAGCGTGGAACGAAGGAGCGAACGAAGGAGGGCGGCGTGGGTCGTGACGGTGTGCTGGAAAGATGGTTGATGGCCAATCCAGTCAAAGAAGGCAACAGCAGCGGAAGGTTTGAGGGGAAGGGAGAGGAGTAGGTGGGAGAGGAGAGTAGGGGTAAGAGATTTGGCGAGGCGGTCGAGAGAGAGGTTGTTTCGCCAGTCAGGGCGGGAGAGGATGTAAGGGAGATCGGCGGATAATTTTAGGATATTGCGAGTGGAAGGAGAAGCAGCCGTCGCTGCGGCTGTGGCGTAGGCGGATGAGAAAGCTCTTTGGACAGTATATGCGTAACGCATGGTCGTCATCTTCCGTGGCAGGGAAGATTCCCCATGTTAGCTTAGGGTTTAGTGCTCGGGCGGCGGAGCGAACTGGGTCGGCGGCGGCAGAAGGCGCGGGGTCTTTAGCCGCGCGGGTTTTCTCACCTCGTTGAGAGGAGAAATTATTAGATTAGAGTTTTTTTTTTTTTGGAAAATTTGGGGACAATTCAAATTTCATTAAATAAAAATTAGTTACATGTGTACAAAAAAAAATTGAACAAATATATATATATTAGGAAAGAGCTACCACCATAGGAAGTAGCAAGAGGGAGATCATCAATTAGATGCAAAAATACACATGTCATAAAAAAATAAGCCAAAAAATCAGGCTGATTAGAAAAAGCATATAATAAAAAGGCTAAGTGGAAAAATTAAGCATCCTAGAATCCACGAACAACCCCAACAGAAGTTGAGGGGGAAAGAATCCAATCAGGCTCAATATAGTCAGATATACACCCTCGAAAATTGAAATCCCCCGGTTGCCAGAGATTCCCTCAAATAAGATTTTGTTGTAAGAATCGCCATCCATGGGGAGAGGATGAAATCTGAACATCATCGCCCCCAAAACAAAATGAAGCACCCAACAAAACACCGGCAAAAAGCAGCCATACACAATAACCAAACAGGGCCGACATAACCACGCCAGAACAAGAAAAAAACCACACCAAGAGAAACTACATCAGAGCTTTGAGATCCTCCCCATTCTTCCATCTATGTAATTTAATAGTCATGACCTTTTTAATCAATACTTGAATAGTCGAAGAGCTTTTAAAACAATTGTTGAATTTCATATCATTCCCCTCCCTTCATATATAATAAATAGTAGCCCATAAACCCAACAGAAAAAAAGCCATCCTACTAGTTCTTGAACAGCTCCAACTAGAGAAAAATTCACCAATATGGCTGAGATTATGTCTCAACAGAAAAATATTTAGAGGGTGTATTAGAGTAGTAATGGTGTTAAAAGTGTAGTCACACTCAAAGAAGAAGTGTGATACAGTTTCAAGACCTGAGTAACAGAAAGCACAACTGGGATCCACGGCAATGTTCCTTTTAAGTAATTCATCAGCAGTTTTCAACCCTCCAACAAAACAAAGTCAAGCATTAGAAGAGAATCTTAATGCATAGTGTTTATGCCAAACAAAACTACACCAAGAGACTTCTCTATCATATTTATAAAAGTCATGAATAAATTTCCCAAATATGGGCTCGCCCTTAGATCCCCAAAATAAAAATTTGTTACCATCACGAATAATAGGGATTGAGGCAATAAGATTTTGAATTTCAACAGGCCAGGTAGCCAGAAATCTCCAGCCAATCGATTCAAAAAGCTTAGCATAAGGGATTTATCCGGAAAGAGCTTAGTAAGTGCATGGTGATGTTGGATCTCTTGAATACAAAGCCCAATGCACCAGTGATCCCACTTTAAACTAATGGGGGGAATCATCAGTAACTTTGAAAATCAATTTAGGCTTAACTCTAACAGCGTAGGAACATATGCTTTTCCAAATGGTCGAGGAATAAGAGGGATGAATTTTTCAAGAAGAACAATAATTAGAGAAAAACCAAGTCGAAAGAGGGGATGTCCAATTATAAATTCTAATGATTAGAGAGTAATCAAAAGCATAACGAATAACTTAAAAAGAAGGCAGACCCAAACCTCCCTTATTCTTGGTTTGCACGTGTTAGCCCAGGATACAAGATGAATCTTTTTAGCCTTGATATAGCCAAAGAAAAGGAACTTAGCTGAGAGTTTAACAATCTATTTACAACAAGTTTTAGGTATAAAAGCCCCACGGATTCAGAATGTAATAGTATTCCAAATGGTGAATCTGAGAAATTCAAGCTTGCCTGCAAAAGAGAAAGACTTTGCTTTCCATCCGAATAACATGTTAGAAATATTATCAAAAGAGGGGAGAATTGAGAAATGAGGGTTCATTTGATAGATATGGGGATGCTCAGATAAAGAAATATAATGTAACAGTTATGTATTTGAAGGGAATCACAAATCTCTTTAAGATAGGGAGTATTGGCTTGCATAATAATGGAACTTTTTTCAGGATTAACTTTGAGGCCAGAGGAGCTAGCATAGGTAAGAATAATGTCAGTTAGTACTTGGCAGTTAGCCAGCGAAGCTTTGCCAAATACAAGGATGTCATCAGCATAAAGAACATGTAAAATTTGAAGACCATTAATTTGCACTGGTTGAAAGAGCTTCCCTCCTCAATATTATCAAATAAATAAGATAAAGCATCCAGAGCAAAGCAAAACAAATAAGGACTGAGGGGGCATCCCTGTCGAAGCCCAATAGAGGAAGGGATAAAGCCTTCCAGGCCACCATCCATGCAAATAGAGAAATGCACGTTGGAGATACAAGCCTTCACCCAATTAATGAATAAGGGAGGGATACCCTTTTGAGCCATTCTTTGCAATAAAAATTCTCTAGAGAGAGAATCAAAAGCCTTCTTGATATTTAATTTGGCAAACATTTAAGAGCCTTTAGTACACTTTTTTTAAGAAACCTCAGTAATTCAGAGGTCAATATAACATTATCCGTAGAAATATCATTACTAATAAAGTCAGGTTGGGCTTGATTAATAATAAGAGGCATGATGCACTTGAGCTTGGAGGCAAGAATTTTAGAGATGATCATATATAAGGTATTGCAGAGATATATAGGCCTAAAGTCTAGTATATAGTTAATATGAGAGCTCTCACGAATTAAAAAAATGGTTGTACCTTTAACACATTTAGGCATATACCATTTATCAAAGAAGGACATAACTGCTTTACAAAGAGGAGGGTCGAGGATGTACCAACCCGATTTAAAAAAGTAAAGTTAAAGCCATCAAGTCTGGGAGATGAGGAAGAGTCCTCAGAGAAAACAACAACTTTGATTTCAGTTTGAGTGATAGAATCGGTGAGTATGGATTGCATGGAGTGAGGAACAATCGACCCAGCAGGGAAAGAAGAAATGTCAGGAACTGATAGATTAGGGGGATTATATAGGTTCTGAAAATGGGAAATAACCCCGGCTTTAGCATTCTCAATTTTATCAGTATTGTCACTCATAGCAGAATAAAGAACAGAGCTATTAAAGCTCTTCCTCATATGAATCTTAGCATAAAGAAATTTAAGGTCATCTTTGCCATCTTTGAGCCATTTTGCTTTGGCCCTCTAAGTGACCCAGGAAGCCCAAGAAGCAGTTAAATCATCAATCTTCCCATTAGTGGCTTTTAAATTAGAATTAAGGGGAAGGTTGGAGGGGTCCAGCTCCAATAATGCAAGAAGGGACCTTTGCTTATTCTGAAGATTATTGAGAGACAACTGAATAACACTAGTAGAGGCCCAATCTTTAGTTTTGATAGAAGCTTTAAGCTTTTTAAGCTTATTAGAGAAATCCATCAAAGGGTTCCCCATGGAAGGCTCTGAAAAGACATTTAACAGGATGACCCGTGTAACAACTCAAATTCTGGTAAAAAAAATTCAAACCCTTATTTAAATAAGGCTTAAGTATTATTAAATAAAATCAACAAAATATTGATGTAAATATTAAATTTTTCTGAATAGATGTGTTCATTGGTGTGGATAAAGAGAATAGCAGTTTTGGAGTGGGATCCACTCTATCTTATCATTTAGTGCAGAATTACTGAACGGGATAAGGTTTTAATCTCTCTCCTATAGCAAGTTCAGTTGTACACTCTCACCCAAGACTCTAGAGAATGTCATTATTCATATATAGGAAATTTGCAGTTCTCCTTTAGGAAGAGGCGGAACATGCCCTGGCTGAAGCAATAGGCGGAACAGGCTCTGGCTGAAGCAATAGGCTGGCTGAAGCAAGAGGCGGAACTGGCTGAAGTAAGAAGCATAAGTTGGATTTTCGATTTGGGAAATAGCAATTGCAAGCTGAAGGAGTATAAGAAATTCATCAGTGCAGTATCAACTTGATTTCTAAGTGAGAAGGAAGTGAGAATATTAAAGGAAGAATAAAACTTGAGGAAAAAAAAACAAGATAAATTTGATCATATGCAAAAATGAGCTTTGAAGTGACTTACAATTGAAGAAGAATTCAAAGTAGAGGATTGGAGGAAACTCCTCGTCAAGAAAGTAAGAAATGCAAAATTTAATGTTTAAAGAAACTTATGTGCTATGAATCATTTAAATTGCTTTAGAAGATTTTCTCCAAGCTTTTGAATATGACCTACTGAATCCTTTGCTATTATATAAGTTCAAGATAATGTTTTGTAAGATCATTTAAAAGTTTTCTATTTAAGAAGATTTGTATAAATATGTAAATGTTATTGAATATATATATATATATATATATATATAAATGGTCGTTACCGGAAAAAACACGGTTTTTAAAACTATTATGGGTAAAAAACCTCATATAAGAACTGCATGGTAAGTGGAGAAAAAGGGACCCCATGAATTATTGTACCTCCTTGGCATGTAGGGTAAAAGGGACCCCAAAGAGGCAAAAGGGTCCTATATAAAATTCAATGGTGATAATATCATATTTGGGCTCCATTGAATAAAGTTAAGAAAGTATAGTAAAATATTTCACAAAAAAATTATATTCAATAGAAAACCAAAAGCAATGGAGTTTAATGTTATGTATGGCTTGTAAATATTTTTAGTAATGATTTCACTATTGTATTTATTCATATTATATTATTTTAATTGTTAGTATTGATTGTTAATTAAGTTTGCATAACTTGCTGAGTCTCACAACTCGCTAGTATTTTTCTTACTAGCTGTTTTTGTAGGAAACAGAAAAGGAAAAGGAAAAGGAAAAGTGGAAGAAGTTTGATATGCAAGTATTTAAGTTTTATGTTAATATTTATTTTATATTTGGAAGTCTACTCATGAGGTTATTAAATAATTGAAAATGTTGTATTACTTTGTATTTATTTGGATTTCCTTTGTGGCTCTGTACTAAGTCTTTGAAAAAAAAATTGGGAACTTTTATATGCTTCATTTGTTGTATTAAATAATATTTATATGATCTTTTATGTAGATTTGAAAAATAATGAATTGATTGAGAGGTTATATGATGGAAATATTATGTTTAATTTTGTTACACTCTATAATATTGTTATGGAATATTGTGGGGTGTTATAAT